TGTTCATTAAGCTACAACATCCAGACAAAGCTCTTTGCAGACTCTTTCATGCAACTGCGTATTTCAGCCGTTTGCTGCTCGGTTGCGTCAGCAGAAAGTGCCAGAATATTAGCGATTAGTGAAAAGGAGTGATCCAAACGTTCTCAAAGTTCTCTGCCAGCCGTTTGGGATTACAGATCGCTAAACACGAACAAGAAAGCTGCACACATAAACCCGCCACTGCCGGAGACACATTGGCCGCTGCTAATGGGGGAGTCAACGCAGCTGTTTGCTCAGAGCGTTGCGTCACGGGTGTTTTCCTTTGTGCGGACGATTGTTTTGTTAGATTACAGTTTTCAAAAGGCCGACTACAGGATTGGTCTCGGCTGAAATCTCCATTGAGGAAGTCGCCAAAGAGAGGAGCGCACTGGAGACCTGACTCCGACACTGAGGCACTTTGAGCTGCGATCTTTGGTGAAAAGTACAATAGAAATATCTATGTAGATGTTGTTTGGAGAAAATAGTTAAATTGTAAAAGTTAGTTAGTTGTGAACAAGTAACAAAATATTCTTTACTGTTTAGACTTGGAAAAACTACTGGAACATGGACAAAAACATGACAAAAGTCCAGGATCTCTCCTTTATCTGAAGACCCATCTGCTTTGTCCAGTGGGATGTGAGTGTGAGAGCCATGACTCTGTGGAAATCAGACCGATAACTTACGTAAGCCTGGTTCCAATTTTAAAATTGTTGGCCGATTTTTCTAACCTGTGAGACTCCACACACGGAGATAAAAAAATCAAGGGTCTAACCACTTTGGTCGTACAGTGTGTGGTGCGCAGCCACACGGCAAGATCACGCAAACCACACACATCACACACAAACCGATTTCCCCCCCGAGTATTCCCAGATCAGACGGAAATCTCACAAAATCTCGCGAGATCAAGCGGCCTAATTATCCTGCCGTGTGAACCAGGCATAAGATTAGAAAATTTAAGAATGTGGATCAAAAAGTAAAAAAATAAAGCTGAAGGACTTGTTGGTGTTCTGTCTGTGCGTTATTTTTAATTTTTCTGTCTCTTGTCTTACTGTGCATTTGTCCCGTCTGCAAGCTTGTGTATTATTTTCACTATTGCATGGTAAGTGAGTTTTTGACATTGTCCATAACACAGACTCACTCACATTCTTCAAATCCACCCTCAAAACTCATCTGTTTAGACAAGCCTACTCACTAACATAACCACACTCTCCTCTGTCCATGATGCTTTTAACTTTGTATTTTAACTGTTTTTAAAATGCACTTTTTTAGTTGTATGTAAGGCGACCTTGAGTGTCAAGAAAGGCGCCTAAGAAATAAAATGTATTATTATTATTATTATTATTGTGATATGTTATGTATTGTATGTTTTGCATGTACATATTGTGAGTGTATGTTTAGTGACTGCGTTGCATGAAAAAAATTTATAAATTAATAAATATAATAAAAAATAAATAAATAAATATGGTGAATATGGGCCCCTGAACAAAATAAATGCCTACCCACCCACCCCATAGTACTACCGTATTTTTGGGATTATAAATTGCTCAATATCGCTCCGAAGTATATATCGCACCAGCCGAAAATACATAATAAAGAAAGAAAAAAACCAGAGCACGTATGGATTACTTCAAAGCTATAAAGTCCAAAGATAAGGAAAGGTTTAATTTTGTGCTCATTGTGTTTTATATCTTTTTAGTGCAACGTCCGGTATTGCTTTCACTTGTATATAAATGTAGATGAGAACATAATCTTTGAAATAAAATGCTTTTGCTAATACGAATACAACACTGAACAATTTTGTGCACCATTTCATTCGCGTACCGCTCTCCTTTCTGTGTAATGCGTTTCACACAACACTGGTCCCAAGCCTGCATAATTGAGTATATTTCATGAACTGTCACATGATAAGCTTATAATACTGCAACCTCTATGCTTTTCTCATTAGCTCAGCATAAAAGATATTGTGTGAATTTGAAAAAATATCTACTGGATGTGTTGTGGTTGGGAAAATGTCTGTTTTGCATGCGGCCCGTTCCTCTTTACTGGGCCACAGTTTTCACTTTCTTTGATATAACGTTCAATGGATGTCAAAATATACCACTATAATGCAGGCAGAAGCATGGTACTGATGATTTAAAATACAGTTTCGGACAGGAAGTCAATAAATCTGTCTAATACATTCTACAGATAATATCAGAATGTGGTATTTTATATTTTGAATGTGTCCTGTTTTTGACATTTTCAGATACAAGATCTCATATTGATTTGTGTCTGCGCTCCCAAAGCACATTTTTCTTCAAACTTTTCTCAGAAGATCAGACCAAAACAGATTTCAGATTGCTTTGAATGTTCATAATTCACTTATTACTTTGTCTGGCTATCATTTGCCCTTACCAGAAGCACCACAGGGGGGAGACAAAATGCACATTGCACATCACAGCAGGGGCAGATAGAAACAGTAATGATCCTATTTGAGCAAAACAAGGCAGACGTACTGTTATCACCAATGCTCCTCAGCGTGTGATAATATCCTGCTTTTGTCGTAAATCATGTATTTTGTCATTTCCAATAAAGATGAGAAATCGCCAGCCCAACTCAGGTAGCTCCCCGACGGATTTAGAAAGCAACAAATTCAATAATGTACTGACTATTAGAGAATGCATTATTCACTTGCTCACAACTATTGTAAATGCAAACTCTCTGTGTGTACTAGTGACAAAGATGTGACGATAAATGACTGGGGATAGATTCAGATCTTAAGCTCGGGCTCTAAAATATATCAACTAATTATTCCCAGGACGACCTAAAGGAGTAGCTCTCTGCCATTTTAGTCTTGAGGAGGTAGATCTTTGGGAGAATAGGTTGCAGACCCCTGATTTAAAACATTTTTTTTTCTTTCTTTTTAGGAGCAGTATGTAAAAATATGGCCAAAAGTGATACTGCAATCTCTCCCACTCCCCCTGACTCAGGTTGCCAGATATGCAGACAAACAGACAAGAGTTTTGTCAACAACAAATTTATAATCTTTTTCACAAAGATAGAAATCCTCATTTTATTCCTTGTTTTGTCATTAATGATTTGAGAATCATAACGAGACCTTTTTTAGTTCTGCGGCCACATGGTACTTTACCAGTGAGATTAGCTCGACCCAGTGAGTTCTGGCAACCCGGATCACAGACTTTCTGATTGGTAAAAAGCTGGAGGGCGGGACATCGAAATGAAAACCATAACAAGATTTAGGGGCTTTAAAACTAATTTTGAAACTTGAATATCTCTGCTGAACTACTGTTATTAGTTATAGAAGTATGATAAAGGAGCATGTTTTATTTATGCCTTTTGACAGATTAGGGTCCTTTAATGATGACTTGATGTGAAAATCTTACCTATTGCTACTTTAAAGGGAAAAAAAAGTCGAATGAAACATAGAGATTGTTTGTAATGGAGGGGGCTGTTCAGAGGACCACACCTGAAGATTGTGGCTCTTACTCTCTGACCAGTTGGCCACACCTGGTTTACAGTCGTGTTGACTAGTGGTCAGACTGATTTAGAAGCAACACTGAATAGAAAGAAAGGAAGGTTGCTCACCCATCATCTGTGCTTCAGTTAGGTTTTCCTGACTCGCGGCTGAGCTTTCGTTCTCAATCCAAAGTTGGATTGAGAACGAAAGCTCAGCTGCAAGTTGGAGATTTAAATGGAGATTTCTCTTGAGAAAATTCTTTGGATTGAGTACAAAACGTCGGGAAAACCTGCTAACTAAAGTACAGATGATGGGTGAGCAACCTTCCTTTGTTTCTATTCAGTGTTGCTTTTAAACCAGTCTGACCACTCTGTAGTCAATATGTTTTTAATAATTTCTCTACAACTGAGAGCTTACACAAACTTAAAGCTGCATTGCATCACTTTATTTTTTTATTCATTACGAAAATTCAATCCATATCCATGCAGTGCATTGGGATATATACGTCCTTTTGAAGAATAAGTAGCACTGGTTTGTGCTGGCGTGTCATTTTATTTTAGATCGAGTTTTTGTGCAACAAGGAAGAGAATTTGTTTCAGGACCAGATTGTGACCAATCACAGCGGACCACTGGCCCCCACTTTCTTGAGAAAAGCTACACGTCTCTCGTTAGCACAGACAGCTGAGGTAAACAAGCGGCAGAGGCTAACCTGAAACTTCCTGTGTCTTCGTTCCCGGTTACTGCTCATACAACAAAAAAAACATTTAACAGAAAGACTCGTTCCTCCGTGCTTTTCGGTTCTATCATTCTATGGTCACGCCATCCACGTTCAAATGTGCGTCCATATTGTGAGACATGAGCTCCGTAAACAACGAGCACATGAGCACAGGCTAAGGGGGGGGACTAAAGCTTCGTAAGTGCGGGGAGGGGAGCAGAAAGAGTGAGCTCAGCACTCACAAAGTGAGTGCAGCTTTAACACTGAATAGAGTCCGTTCGGAGAGTATGTGGTACTCTTCTGCTTTGCAACCGTTCTCAGTGTGGTGGCCTCTTCCCTGCACCTTCCCTCCCTCTCCACCTCCCCTCCCTCTCCACCTCCCTCTCACCCTCTCTCTAACCCTATCCCTCCAGTCCGGACCACTTTGTGCTAATTACCAGTTTATCACAATCGTTGAGTCTCGACCCCTGATTCACGAGGGCCTTGTTCTGTTCAAGATGGCCACCTTTCACACTCTCCCGGCCCCTGCCTTCACTCACACCCTTGTTTGTGGGAAGGGTGTCTTTAATTGAGCTCCACAAACACACTCTGTGGCGCTCATGTCTGCTGATTTAAAGCAGGAGAAGAACCGTGTAGTAATTCTCTGGTGGTTTTCACAGCATCAGTGTACGGCCCTACGCACATGTCTGCATTCCATCTCATAATCATAATAGAGGTGGGATTAGGGCATGGTCAAGAAAAGTCAATCCCTGTGGTTCTTGCAGACATCTTTCTGCAGTCCTGGATTAGGAATACACAGCTCACACGCACCTTCATGAATATGGAGACGATGACCAGGCCATTGGGGCTCTTCGCTGCTTCCGTGTAGTTTGTGTACAGCTCGTTGTTGTAATGGATCAGTTGGACCTGGAAGACAGAAAAAAAGAAGAATTCAAAATACATACCTCCACAGCTCAAACTGAAAAACCTGCACTGCTATTGCCACTCTTTCATTAAAGGCCACTTTTTTATTGTACATAATTATATCCTGCACAGACTGTATTTTTTAACCTTTAGCAAAGTTGCACACTTCTGTTTTTACACAATCTGAGTGATTCTATCCATCCATCCATCCATTTTCTACCCTTTAATCCATTTCTGGGTCAGGGGGGTGACAGTCAGAGATGCCACCCAAGTCTCATAGCACCAGCCTCAGACAATCTGAGTGATTCTATCCATGCCAAATGTGACATGTACATTTCTCCAGTGTGAGATCAATAAAGTCGATCTTATCTTAAACTAACTACTTAAACTTGAAAGTCCAAAATTTGACTTTAAATGATACTCATATTATGCCCGTCAGTTGCTCTACTTTTTTAGGTGAAGGAAATTACAAATGGCATAGGGGACATGCAAAGAAAAAAGTTATTCCTCTTCCAGCTCAGTCCTCTACCAAAACCTGGGATCTTGAGGGTTCTGCGCAGTATCTTTGCTGTTCCTATCACTGCACATTTCTGGACCGAGTTTTCCAAAGTTTTTCCAGGGATCTGCTATAACCACTCTTCCAGCTTCGGGGTCACTGCCCTGAGTGCACCGATCACGGCACTACTGTCACTTTTACATTCCAGACACTCTCCAGCTCCTCTCTGAACCCTTGGTATTTCTAATGCTTTTCGTGCCCTTTTTCCCTGATGTTACCATTGCTTGGAATTGCCACGTCCTCCAATTGCCCTTTATCCACAATATCTGGTTTGTTCGCCATTATCTTTGCGCTCTCATTCTCCACCGTCTTTGGAGAAGCTTTCCATTTAGACCTTGGAGTTTCCAGTCCATACCCTGCACAGATATTCCTGTACACTGCCAGAATCTTTCACCCTGCATTTATCTGTCTCAGGCTTGTGCAGAACAGCGGTGGTGCATGTAGTGTCCACGGTAGATGCTACATTTGATGGTCACTGTTGTGAGCGGCTTGCCATTGGCCTCATTGAGTTTGCAGCGGAGTCATTTAGAGTCCTGTTGATGTCGTACAACTTCAAGCACTCCATGTTTATGTGTGTGGCATTGAGTCGTAGGCCTTCTGGTAACACTGGGTAACAAAAAAATATTTTTTGAAAATAGTCCAGAGTTTTCCAGCTGAATTAGACTAATTTTGATGCTCTGAGTCCGAAAATGACCTTGGTCAGGTCAGGATTTTTTGCTACAGAAATATTTTTTTTTATCGATTTTTTGTAAAAAACAAATTTCTGCGGATCATCAGCTGAGAAACCCTTGACGTTTTTTCCGTTTTCCTCAAGAAATAAAAGTCAACGTATCCAAAGTCATTCAGTTTTTATTTACTCCATCAAATTTGATAAGCAGAATTCATAATAACGTAGACGTACGTAATCCGTAACACTATGGCTGTATCTCCAAAAGTTGACCTGATAGAGCAAAATGCATGTGATATTCGGACTCAGAACACCAAAAATAGTCTAAAACCCCTGACCATTTTTTGGCTGTCAACTTGTGTAATCAATCCAGGCTGTGCACAGGCTGTCATGACCGGCAGGTGTGTAATGACCAGCAGTATGTTGACTGTTCTGTCAACCAGGAGCTTGTCTTTGGCTCCTCTGGTATCTCTACCAATGCTTTCTGTGCTCATGAATTCATATAAATTATATTTATATATAACTTTTACCACTTTGCTTGTTGCCTCCTCTGTGCTGTTCTCGGGCGCTCATTCCACATCCACTTTAGCTCAGAGGCATGGATGTATTATATTGTGACCGGAGGCAACAAAACTTGTTGTGAGTGTAGAATGGGAGTCTGTATTCTTGGTACTGCTGGTTACAACATGGAACAACTTTTGGCCTCTGTAACTATGGAAATAGTTTATAGGAAACAAATGTAAAACTTGTGTTAAAATGAATAATTTGTGACTAAATATTAAAAAGACAAAGACATCGTAAAAGTAATTTACCGGTCAGGTGTTATAATAGAGAAACAGATTTGGAAATATCACAGAAGTTTCCAGAGGAGAAAAGTAAGGAGACTGCCTCTTGAAATAATCAACAACTCTTCTGGCCCTGGAAAAGCCATGTTCCAGCTTCTTCCCTCCGGCAGAAAATATTGTTCTCTGAGATGTAGGGTGTCTCGATATGTTAACAGCTTGTGGAACAAAGTGTTAAAAGTTGGGACCTTTTGGGAGCAGGTTTCATTTAAAGTGGTTCTCACCCTCGCTCTTTGAGGCCTATGTCACTCACATTTCCTTTTCAAATCTCCCTACAAATGGGCGTAGCCTGGAGGACTAAAGGGGACAGGCGGGGGGGGTGAATGTTGGGCGGCTCTAAGCTGTGATTGACACTTGACATCAGCATTGGCTGTGACAAGATGGCGCCTCGTACGGTCGACATGGCTCTTTGCTGCTCTCTTTTTCTTTTGTTTTTACTTTTTAACTGTGCATCTGGCTGTTCCTACACCCGTGAGGAACTTATGAACATCCGACCCACCGTTCCCATGGACCTATTGCCTGTTTTCTTGGCATCTGCGGCTGATTTAGTTCATGTTCTAGCCAAAAAAGTGTGGGCCCGTAAAAGGGGAAGGCGCGGAGGCCTGCTGGTGCGTCTGAGGAGAAGAGGAGAGCGCACGGCTCTCCCCGGCATTTTTCTCTCCAACGTACGCTCACTGGGCAATAAGATGGACGAACTCAGCCTGCTCATGAGAAGAAACAAGGACTTCGCCACATCCTGTGTCCTCTGCTTCACTGAGACCTGGCTAAATGAGCAGATCCCGGACTGTGCTCTGGAGCTGCAGGGCTTTGGGCCGTTCCGCGCGGATCGCCATTGTGCGCTCTCAGGGAAGAGCAGAGGCGGTGGGCTGTGTTTCTACGTCAATACAAACTGGTGTAACAATGTGACAGTGATCTCCAAGCACTGCTCTCCTGCTCTGGAATATCTTTTCATTCATGTAAACCATATTACTCCCCGCGGGAAATTGTTTCATTCATTCTTGCCTCTGTTTACATACCGCCATGCGCGGACGCGCGCGAGGCTCAGCGCGCACTCGCAGAGCAAGTACTGTGTATGGAACGTTTATACCCGGACTCTCTGATTATTATCCTGGGGGATTTTAATAAGGGAAACTTGAGCCAGGAATTACCCAAATACAGACAGTTTATCAAATGCCCGACCAGAGAGGAGAACACTCTGGATCACTGTTACACCACTGTGCGCGGAGCTTTTCGCGCTGTCCCCAAGCCAGCCCTCGGCTTCTCAGATCACTCCATGATACATCTGGTTCCTGCTTACAGACAGAGACTAAAGCTCTCGAAACCTGCAGTGAGGAGCTCCAAAGTGTGGTCTGATGAAGCTGTGGAAGAGCTGCGCGCATGCATGGAATCTACAGACTGGGACCTTTTCAGAGCTGCCACAGATAGTTTGGATGAATACACGGACACTGTGACGTCATACATTCACTTCTGTGAGGATAGCATCATTCCAACAAGTACCAGGGTCATCTATAACAACGACAAACCCTGGTTCACTGCTAAACTCCGGCAGCTCAGGAAAGCAAAGGAGTCTGCTTTCAGGGAGGGGGACCGCAGCGGCTACAAAGCAGCTAAATATCAGTTCAGGAAAGAACTGAAAGCAGCCAAGTCCCGGCACAGAGAACGACTACAGGAGCAGTTTGGTAACAACGATACTGCTTCTGTCTGGAGGGGCCTACGGGAGAGCACCAACTACAAACCCAAAGCCCCCCCCTGTGCTGATGACCGCAAGCTAGCTGACGAACTGAACTTATTTTTCAGTCGCTTTGATGCTGCCCCTGACACCTCTCCCTCCCCCACCCCCCACTACTCTAACGACCCACCCATCAGCCCTGCCCCCAGCCTAACAATAGCCGCTAAAGAGATTAAACAACTCTTCCTGAGGCTGCACCCCCGCAAAGCTCCTGGCCCGGACCACGTGTCTCCGGCCACTCTGAGACACTGCGCCAGTGAGCTTACTCCTGTGTTCACGGACATTTTCAACACCTCTCTGCAGTCCTGCCATGTCCCGGCCTGCTTCAAATCCTCCATCATTGTCCCCGTCCCGAAGAAGCCCAGGATCACAGGACTCAATGACTACAGACCTGTAGCACTTACGTCTGTCGTCATGAAGTCATTTGAACGCCTGGTTCTCTCCCATCTCAAGTCCCTCACCTCCCCCCTCCTGGACGCCCTGCAGTTCGCCTACAGAGCCAACAGATCTGTAGACGACACCATTAACCTGGCCCTCCACCACATCCTACAGCACCTGGACTCCCCGGGGACCTACGCCAGGGTCCTGTTCGTGGACTTCAGCTCTGCCTTCAACACAATCCTGCCATCCCTGCTCCAGGACAAGCTCTCCCAGCTCAAAGTGCCCGTTTCTACCTGCAGGTGGATCACTGACTTCCTGACGGACAGGAAGCAGCGAGTGCGTCTGGGGAAGAATGTCTCGGACTCTCGGATTATAAATACAGGAGCCCCACAGGGCTGTGTTCTTTCTCCCCTGCTCTTCTCCCTGTACACCAACCACTGCACCTCCAGCCACGACTCCGTGAAGCTGATCAAGTTCGCGGACGACACCACCCTCATTGGACTCATCTCCAACAACGATGAGTCCGCCTACAGGAGGGAGGTGGACCGGCTGGTGTCCTGGTGCAGTGGTAACAACCTGGAGCTGAACGCCCAGAAGACAGTGGAGATGATTGTGGACTTCAGGAAGAGCACTGTCCCCCCGCCCCCACCCTCCGTGATGAACTCCCCCATCACCTCTGTGGAGTCCTTCCGTTTCCTGGGCACCACCATCACCCAGGACCTCAAGTGGGAGCCGACCATCAGCTCCCTCATCAAGAAGGCCCAGCAGAGGATGTACTTCCTGCGGCAGCTCAGGAAAGCCAAGCTGCCTGCACAGATGTTGGTGCAG